CATGGACTTTATTCTCTGAGTCTGGTCCACTTGTTTACAAGTCACTTAGCTAATTTTATAAAGTAAAGCCAACAAGCAAGAAGAATGATTCAAAGGCCTTGATGACAGTTTGATGTGTTGCTCTTTGTGGGGAAAGGATGATTAAAAGTAGTCAAGCAACGGGAAAGGGAAAGTTTATGTTTTCTCTTATGCCACCGACTCCCAAGAGGTATTGTCAGAGGAAGAGCTGAGTCATTACTATTCTCACATCTTTCCATGCACATAATAGTCTGCACCACAGACTATCTCATGGCCTGAATAATTGGCATGGCCTGATAAGCGTTAGTGAAATACATATCTCAGATCCTGTTGTATCCCAGAAGCCAGAAATATATCCCAAACCCCTATACTTTAATGCCTATGACAGGGTCTCTATCACAATTTGGTTGACTCCAGGAACGACAGTGGCAGTGACCTGGAATGTAAGTGAGCATAAAACCGTATAAATTATTGTGCCTATATTCACACAACACCCCAAATCTTGGTTTCTAGCATCCCTTCTATAGAAAGACTTTGAGCTGACATGTAAGAAGGACTACCACTTGCTGGATTTGCTGTAAGAACTTTCAGCAGATAGCTGCTTCTTGCAAGCTTCTTCTGATGTGTCTTTATTCTCTGCTTACCATCTAAGTACTTAGCTGGACAGCTCCACTGTTGTTTCATTTGTTCTTCCCCTGTTGGACAGCTCCCCTGCCTCATTAGAGCTGGGAATCACAGTCTCACAGCTCTGCCTTGATGGGAGGGAAATATTTGCTAGCGTGACTACCCTTTCCCATTGATTTATGAAGAATGAATGCTGTTCAGAACTTGTACTTCCCTTTTGATGTGCAGTTGAGGTTTTAAAGAGCAACAATACAGAAACAGAAAAAGAAGAGATGTGATATAATCTAGTTCTCCCTGGCTATGAGCTGTGATGCATGAAATGAAATGATTCCTCAGCTGGCGGGGGGCTGCAGGATTTAATTGGGTTTGAGACTGACTGGGGAAAAGTTGCATTTGCAGCTGTTCCTCCTCTTCCCTTAGGCCTTGCTTAGGCCATTTGGGTCTAGAAATGGGAATGTGAGTCATCACAATGAAACAGCAAATAACTGAAGCAGTAACTACCTCTAAAAGAAAGCCATATTGAAGCAGGGAGAATTCCCACTGATTAAAAAAGAGGAAGTCACAATAAGAATGTTTTGGGAAAAGCAATTTAGCTAACATATTTGTGTTCTTACATGTCCCATGTATGTGATTTTATACACATATAAACACACATTTTTAATTTAAAAAGCTTGATTACTTTGTACTATATCTTATATTTTACATCCTAGAACCTTTGTTAGAATATTGCATAGTGAGGTTGTAACTTAATGCACCTCTGCTTTCTTTAATATTCCAAAATATAGAGAGGAAACAAGTGAAAAGAAAGCTGTTTTTCACAGAAGCTCTTTAGTGCAAGCCCCAGCCAGTTATTTTACTCAAGCACTTCTTCCTGCACTGTGTCCTTGAAGCTTTCCAAGTGCTAGAAAAATTGATTAAAAGAAACATCTGAGGTTGTAGAATTATCCTGCATCAATAGCGCAGTATTCTGCCTGACACAGTGCATGTATCTTTGTGGAGGTAATTTTTCTATAACGGAAATCTTTGCTACAGAGAATAATTCAACCCTATTCTTTCTATACAGAAGTATCAGAGAAGATAATGGGCAGTGGAGATCAAACAATCTCTGAGGAATTATGTGGATTTTAGAGAGAGATAGAAAGCACAGGAAAAATGAAATGGGAAGAGCATTGGAGAAGGCACAGAAGAAATTGTGTGCTGCCTTTTAAACAAACAAACAAAGCATGAATTTCCTTGCATTTGAAGGAATTGGAAAGGCACCAGATTGAGAAAAGCAGTTATATACTTAAGCAGCGACACTGAACTCGGTAAGTTGTATTTCTTAATAGGACTATGCTGTCAAGCAATAACTGGTTAGAATAGGTCTTCTATGCATTTCCTTACTTTCTTATGAGTTAAAAACAATCTCGAAATTAAAATGAACAAGTTCTAGATACCAAGATATCATGCCTTCCAATGTTTTAGAGATGAAAATAAAGTCTGGCTCAAAAGACCCTCATCCTGTATCAAGGCCCCATGGCCTCCATTTTTTTCTGCTTTCTCCATCTGCTGGATGCTATATTCATTTGTTCTGCAACAGCATTGCCATCTGCAAAGGCAAGATGTTGATTGCTTTTTGAGAATGAGCGTACTCTAAATGTACTTTGTTATCTAACACTCTTTTTCATGTCCCATCTCTCGGATAGGTGAGGTTATAAAAATGACTTTATGGACAGTAATGTCCCATTTAGGATGGCTTTTTCTCAGTAAAGGAATCATATCATTCAAGTTGTTGGTGAAATATAGTTCTAGGAAGACTTTAATGGCTATTGTCACTGTTTTATTTTTATTCTCTGATTTTATTGTGATTTTTTTTCCCTGTCTGCCTTTATCAGATTTATATACTTGGATTTGTATATAATATTTAATTAATTTATTAATTTCTAGCCCACTCCTGTCCAGATGATTCTGGCAGTCTAACACAATTAAAAAAAAATTAAATTCTGTACAAAACAGGATCAATAAAACTAACTGTCCTTCAATCATGTCCCCCCACAACTCATGGGGTCCATCCATCCATCTAACACAAGGCCTGCAGAAAAAGCCATTTTTAAAAGAATGCTTAAAGACCGGCAGTATAGGAGCCCTGCAGGTCTCCAGGGGGATATTATTCCAAAGGGCCAGTGCAGCAAACAACACTTAAAGGGCACACTGTATGAAAATGCAATCCATGTTTATACTATATAAACAGATGCTGGGGTGGGGTTGGGGGAACCAGAAAGCATCTTGTGGTATTGGATGGTATTTTAAAGATGGTGGGAATGCATCCAAACAGTAAATGAATATAAAGCATAATTCCTCCCTACTCAGAGATACGTATAAAAACCAGCATGAATCACACTAAAAGTATTTAGACAAGGCACTACTCAAAAACAAAATCAACAACAGTGTGTTTGGGTATGTGAATTACATATGGAAGTATATATTGCTTCAGAAATAGACCTCGGGCTGCAATTTTCAGCATATTTACGTGGAAGCAAACTTAACGGAACAGTTTAGTGAATTATGTGCTATCAAGTCAACTTCAGCTCTTAGCAACCACACAGATAGATTTTCTCTGGGAAAATCTGTCCCAAACTTGGTCTTACCAGTCTTCCAAGGGTGCACCCATCACCGATGTAACTGTGTCCATTTACCTTGCTGCTTGCTCGTCCTCTTCTTCCCTTTCCTTCCATCTTCCCCAGCATTATATACTTCTCCAGAGAGCTAGGTCTTCAGATAAGGTGTCCAAAATTCAATACCTTGAGTAAGGACTCTGGGTTGATTTGTCTGACGATCCATTTGTTTGTTTTCTTGGCTGTCCGTGATATTTTCAGGATTCTTCTCCAACTTCAGAATTCAAAAGCATCAATACGCCTTCTGTCCTACTTCACTGAACAGGACAGGTAAAGGTTTAGATTCCCCCAAGTCAAGTCCAGGGGACTTCATGGACACTTCCATACTGCTTTCTCTGCCACAATATGGAAGTGATTTGCCATTGCCTTCTTCCAGGTTGTTATCGTTGTTTGTTTTATTTCCCAATCTAGGCTACAAAACTGGGCTGTCATCCCCTTGAAGCACTAACCAGGACTAACCTAAATGAACTTTTCAGCAGCTTCTAAGGTCAACTAGATACCATCACCAGCATTCCTTGATAAGCTCTGTTTATTGTGATTGGAAGACTTTCCTTTCTTCTTTTTCTTTCTCTGGATTTTCTTCCACCTCTAGTCTTCATATTTATTTTCTGATTTTCATTTTCTTTCTCATTTCATTTTTCTTCTCCACATGGGTAATATAATGGAAATACACCATACTTTACAAATGCATTTCACTGACTTTGATAAAGGCCTTTAGACTGAAGGGAAAACTGTGTGTGGACATGATGAAAAATATAATCAGAATTTTTTTTTTCAAATTAGTATTAAGGAAAGGGCAGTGAAAATGTAATAGGACAAGTTGTTTAGAAAATATAAAACTGTGTGTGGACATGATGAAAAATATAATCAGAATTTTTTTTTTCAAATTAGTATTAAGGAAAGGGCAGTGAAAATGTAATAGGACAAGTTGTTTAGAAAATATTGTATTGGTTGGGCTTTCTTGAAAATAGGCATACTGTATATTTAGAATTTATTGTATTGGCTCGATGTATCCTTGAAAAACAGACTGAAGTTATTTAAAATTTATGAGTTGAGTATTTCTCAAAAGTAAAACCGTTTAGAACCCAATGGTACTGTTTCTGTCCCAAAACACACTGCCTGGTATTTTTTTCTATTGGTGCAATACACTGGAAGAAAAAAGAAAACGTCCTTGAAAAGCCTTGTCTTTAGAAAAGACTTAGAAGCACTCTGTTTAAAATTAATTGGATTGTTAGAACGTGTACAGAAAATGCATATAGGTCAAATTTTAAATTAAGCCAATGATTTTATGATCTGGCCTGGGGCTGTAATAATGAATGTTCAAATACAGTGTTTGTTTCTGAAATGTTTTCAGAGAGGAAAGGAAGCTGGAAAGGCCGGGCACAGCCCTGAAGTGAAAGCCAGGCGCCCACCGCCAGCGAACAGACAACCGCCGGCCTCGACTCACGAGAGACAAATGCACCTCCTCAGAAAAGGCGGGAACGAGCCACTCACGGGGGGCGGAGCTTCACGCTGACAGGCAGGGGAGGAGCAGAGAATCCGTCAGCATCCAAAGGCCGTCAACTGCAGGGGCGGAGCTGGTGACTCTCCACGTCTCTCGAAGGAGGCGTGGTTTGGAGGCAAAGCTCTGGTCCAGTACGTGGACGGAGAGGGGGAGAAGGGCGGGGCCACGTCACGAGACAGGAGGGCGGGGTCTCCTGGCGGCGAGAGCAGGAGGCGGGGAGGAATGTCCCTCCGGGACGACGCGCGACGGGAGGGGCGCGAGCGAGCAACAAAGAGCGTGGCTGAGGGAGGGGCGGAGACTCGGTCCCGGGAGTGGTGGGCGGGGCCAGCCCGGAGAATCCCGTGCCTGCTTTGCGCTGGGCGTCAGGAGCGGAGGGGGGCAGCCGGGCACCGGAGCCATGGCGGAGGCCGCGGCCGAGAAAGGTGAGCGCGAGCGGGGGCCGGGCCGGTCACGTGCCTGGCGCCCCGTGTCCTTGGCACGAGCCCCTCCAATCCGCGCTCCTTCCCCCCCCCGCTCGGATGCAGAGAAAGGGAACCGGCTGTAGGGGGAGCCCTCTTTGAGTGCAGGATGCTCCCGGGCGCTCTTTGCATGTGCTCAGAGGGGCCCTTTCGCAGGGGCGCCTTCTTGCATTGAGGACCGAGGCCGATGCTCAGACCTGTTCCACTTCCTCGGGGTGCGCGGGCAGGGGCTGGAGGTCAGGCTGCTCCGGCCCTGGGCATCGCTGGCAGGAGACGAACGATGGTCAACTCCCTGGGCAGGTTCCCAAAGGGGGTTACCGGGCAACTACTCGCGCTGGCTGACCACAGTATTAACTCTGGCCTCGGAAAGGATGATGGTCTCAGGCTCTGGAGGGGAACCTCTGGAAGGGAGCAGTAGCGTTGCTTCCGGGTTGGGGGCTTCCCCTTGACGTGGGATTGGCCATCATGCGAGCAGGATGTTGGATTAGGTGATCATTTGGCTTGACTGAGCATGGCTCTTTTTTTTTTTTTTTTAAATCCCATGGTTAATTGAGAGGGCTGGGCTGGGGTGGCTGTCTTTCGGCCTTTGCATCTGGGCAGCTCCCATTTGTTAAGACCTCAGGTTGGGTGTCAGCTGGGATGCAAGATTTGATTAATTTATTTGAATATTTTTGAATGGCAAGAATGAAGAATGGTATACGTGAAAGTATCCAAGGGGGAAAAAAAAAGAACATATATTTGCAGTAAATGTCTTCTACTAGGAGTATTCAAAAATATAAAGCACCTTCTTGTGGTCTTCACATGAAAAGGCGGGCCTCGCTGTACTACATTCCGATCATTGGGAAGTAAAGCAAATCAGAACCACAATTCCGCGTGTGTAAACTAGTAGTGCAGTGCCCGGGCATTATATCAGTTTTTCATATGCATAGGGCAAGTGGAGATCAAAGTCAAGCTTTTCCCAAAAGTCATGGGACAATTTACCATGTTTTTTTTTTCTTTGCTCTAATTGCATATAGCTATTTTCTACCACTATAACAAATTATTTCCCTCTGCAGCTTATTACAGGTTCCTTGTGCTTTTCTTCAACTGTCTCTTGACCTTTGGCTCCTACTTCTGCTTTGATATTCCCAGTGTCTTGCAAGAACAGTTTCAAGGGGTAAGTGTTTTCCCCCTTTTCTTTCCAGTCCTGTTAGAGGTCAACTTGATTTCAGTCCTGAAGCAAATAGATTAGAAGTGCAAAGTTGCAAAGCCTTTTTGAACTCAAGTCTTTCCAAAGCTGCAGGGATTAACACAGAGCAAACATCAGCTGTTTCCATACCTGAGTTACCAAAGGTATATATAGGAATTTAGGAAACCATGTGAATGCCAAGCCACATTTTTGATAGGTGATGTAGCAACTTCGTTTGTTTTCCATATATAAGTGCCAACCCCTACTTTAGATTTTTTAGATTCTGCTACATACTGGCTTCACACGTTGTACTAAGCTACAGTTTTTAAGCCATGCTTTGTTGACTAAGCCACAATCGGCTGGGCTCTCAAATTACACCAAGCCATAAATCCTGATCAGAAGAGCACAGTAGCTGAATGGTGCATTCCTCCAATACACCTGAGCTAATAAAATCACACAACATCTTATGCCATGCATGTACCCATCCAACATCTTAGTCAGTAGATTAAAGTCTCTAGTTGTCTGGAACAAATACGCAGCTGGGCATGACTAAATCAGGATGTAATTCAACTTGGCTCCATTGTAATGTCTAATACTGATATTTTGTTTTCGTTCTGATTTGTCATCCAGAATCTAACCTGCCCCAATGGGACTCAACACAATGGCACAGAACATAATGCAACAGCTGATTGCGTGGAAGGCCTGGGAATGACTCCTGAAGAATACAATCTTTTGTATGCCATCTATGCCTGGACGTGAGTCCCTAAAACACACACACACACACACACACACACGCATATATGGGAAGAGGAAATGCTACTGATTTCTACCTCCTGCTCATTGCTGTTATTTACTTCTTTGTTGTTCTCTGTAGTAACGCACTGGTGGTGATTGTGGCTGGCTTCCTGATTGACAAACTGGGAAACCGCTGTAAGTTTGGAGGGACTAAACCATGATTGTTTTTCTGTGCCACTTGGATGCCCTCTCTCTGAGATCATCGCGGGTGTGGGGGGGGGGGAAGGCTGTTCTGTACATTCCTTTGTCTTCTGAAATCCAGCTGGCTAAAGAAGACCTTTTCTGCTTGGTTAACACGTTGTGGAGAGTTGCCTTTCCTGGGAGTTTAGGAGGATTTGTTGGCATTCATCTCTGCCTGCAAAGTTTGGCAAGCAGCTTTTAAATGCTTTGTGAAATAGAATGGTTCATTTTAACCATGTCTGCCTCGATGCATTGGCTTGGAATGTTCTAAATCAGTGTTTCTCAACCTTGGCCGCTTGAAGATGGGTGGACTTCAACTCCCTGGCTGGGGAATTCTGGGAGTTGAAGTCCACCCATCTTCAAGCAGCCAAGGTTGAGAAACACTGTTCTAAATGTATAAAGGAACTCAATGGTTAGGGATGCGTTTGAAAGTAAAGCTTTGTTTGGGATATTTAAATTCCACCTCTTTTCATCCTGAGATTAAAAGAAGCCGATTCTGAGTTGCCAAATGATGTTCAGTCTGTTCTTTCGACAACGCTCGTACAGAGGTGGTGTCGAAAGTTGGCAAGCCATGTGTGACCTCAGACCATAGCCTTACTTTGGTTATTTCTATAGACGTCTGCGAAAGACACGGTTTAAAACTTGTTGGCAGACGTTAATATGATTCTTCTTATTTCAGCCTTGGATTTGATAGGCTACCTTTCACGAGGGTAAAAAGATGTAAGACTGTCAGGGCAGCTGAGAGTCTATTGTTACCCTTTCAAAATTTTCCAGGCGTTTTAAAAACCAGGTCTTCAGATCATGTTTCTTGGGAAGCATATTCTGTGTGTTTATTGATTTTGCGCTGCAGAATTTTGAATAGTCTCTTCGGGTTACTTCCTACAACTTGGAACAGAAAATGTTTGATCTCTTTTATGCAGAGACAGGGACAAAATGTTATGTTTGACAGTTGCAACTGGAAACAGTAGCAGCATAGCTTATTTAGAGACAGTATTTATGTGGTCAGAAGTGATTAAAGAGTTATAAACTTGGATCTTGTCCCCTCTTCGATTCTAATTTGCACGGCTATTATAAAAGCCGCGTGTTTTGGCTTTACCAATTTTCTCCCATGTCTTTTTCTTTCCCCTTCTCTCCATAGTTGGCGTTTTCGTCTTCTCTTTCCTCACTGTCTTGGGATCATCTATTTTTGCACTGGGCTCCCACTTAAAAGGCACTCCGTACCTCTTGCCACTGATGCTAACAGGCAGATTGCTTTTTGGTTCTGGAAATGGATCGCTCACAAGTAAGGACTGAGTAGAGTTTTCTCCACAGATGGGAGAACACACTGTGCCAACATGGATAAATCTGCACTTTGAGGACAAGGTTCTGTGAGCTCAGGCAAAGCTTTGAATTTCTTAACTTCTTTCTATTCTTTTTTTTTTTTTTTGACAAGAAGGACATAATCACAGCTGCTTTCCCTGATTCTGTGCTTATTACATACAACAGAAATCTTGGTTTGAGTCAAGGTGCATTTGCATCTCTTACTAAGCCCCCTCCTTTTTTTTCCAGCTTATCAAACCAACAAACCAGATAAACAAATGATGACTTGGGGCAACTTTGGGGAATCCATCTTTATCTAGTTAATTGCTGAAAGACTTAACTTACTTAAAAGAATTTATCTTAAGGCATACTTCCTGATTGAGACTGTGCAAACACAAATTAGTTCTCCTGTAAGATGTATTGGAAAGGGATTGAAGAGAACTTGCAAGCTAGGAGGATTAGATGGGCTCACAGTGGCTGTTCCCCACTTTAGTCTTATATGGGAATGGAGGCCTGTGAATGTCTGGTTTTACCTCCAAATCCATGCCTTTTTCCAGTGGAAAAGCAGAGTGGGTTTATTTTATTTCTATTTATAAATCAAATGTACAGCTTTCTTCTTCAAGTACAAACAATTAAAATAGCAGTATTTAAACCGCACCCTGCCACATGCAGAAATAATGTAGCGGAGAATGCAGTATAAAAGCAGTGTCAATTGAGGTCTCAAAATGGTTGCTGTCTTGTTCGATTCTGGGAAAATAAATTAAGAAATAAAGATTAGCGGGAATTGAATTAATAATGATAAGGGTGCAAAAAAAACCCTTCTCCTCATCACTATTCTCATGCATTGGCAGCACTCAGAAAAGAGACTCTTACAAAATCTTCAGTCTAATGCTAAGTGAACTCCTTGGAAAATACAGAAACACAAATAACATAATAATAAAAAGTAGGAATACATAGTGCATTAAATGCAGGGGGGAAAGCAAAAGCAGTGGAAGTGACTCATCTGCTCTAGATGTACAAAACAAGTTCAGATTACGGCTGAAAGATAGTCCCGCTGGCATCAGGCAAAAGTGCCTGAGAGGGTATTTTATACAAATGGTAGCTTGTTTGTGGAACATTAACCCTAGAGAGATGCCATCACTGTGCTCCTGCAGGTTGCTCACTAAGACCTTCCATTCAAAGCAAGGTGGGGAATCTGGTTTAATTCTGTTGGTTTTAATGCTGTGTCTTGGGGGAATTATTGATTCAAAATGGAACGGATAAGCATTTTCATAGATGTTACAACATTTATTTGTCTATTTATTTATTTAAATTTATTGGTCACCCAATTCCAGCGGACTCCATAGATTGGATCCAGTGAACTCTGGGTGGCCAGTCCAGTAGACTCTGTTGAGATTGACTAGCATGGTTTCTGCTGTGTGTTCTTTCTTTATACTTTTTAACTCTTTCATTTTATTTTGCTTCAAGTGTTCTGCTTACTTCCTTGAATGGAGATACACGTTATATAAAATTCACAAAATATGCCCTCCTCTGCATTGTCCTGTCCCTAGATCTTCTATTTGTATTACTGTCCACTTAATAATGCTGATTTCTTTTCTGCTTTTTGAGTTGTGCAGAATCGCATCACTGCCTTTTGGTTCAAGGGGAAAGAGCTGGCTCTAGCATTTGGATTAACTCTCTCTTTCTCCCGTCTTGGGAGTGTCCTCAACTTCTTTTTCACCCAGCAGTTTGAAAGCCATTTTGGAATCCAGTGGACCCTTTGGGGAGGTGAGTTTCTCTTTGAGCATTATCTCTTGATTATTTTATCTCTACAACAGCATTTCACCCAAGGTGATACTCTCTGAAGGTGGTGTGCTATAACTCCCACAATCCCCAACCACATCTAGAAGATAACTAGATTGGGAGAAGCTGCCTAGAATGCCCCATCAGAGCTTGGAGCTTTTCCAGAAGGTAAATCAACCAATAACATAATCCCGCTCTTTCTCAAGAGAAGAGCTATAATGGAGTGATACATCAGTGCTTTGAATACAATGCTTACCTGACTTAAGAATGTCATGCCAACAGTAGGGTTCACCATTGACGGAGGTTCCACTGATTGGTTCTTTTCTGTCCACAGGGGCTTTGTTATGTGTGCTGGGCTTTATTTCAGCAATCACTGTCAGCGTGCTGGACAAAGTGGGTACGAAGCAGCTTGGCTTGGATGGAGTTATCCAACAAGAGTCCAAGAAAGTGGTAGGTGGGATGGATGTTGCATCAGGCAACTTCTACTTTGTTATTATTAGCTTTGTTTCCTGGGTGTGAGTTATTCATGACACTGGCAGTCAGGAGAGACTTCAGACACTTAAGCCAAGTCTCTGTGCTTAGCCGCCCAGTTTCCCTAACTCTGCAAAGAGGAGAGGATGGGGGTTGTCTGAATGGCCTTGGGTACTGAATACTTATTTGCTTAGCAGGTACATTCTGACCTGGTTCATATATTCTACCAATACCACTGTTTATTTATGGTTTGTTGAATAAAGACAGTTGGCTGGTCTTATACAATACTCTGAACCAAAACTAAAGGAACCATGTTATGACTCAGAATTAAGGTGTGAACCTGGTTTCCCAGTTGCTTGCTTTGCTAGTTGATTTGCTAGAGCAGTTCAGGGCCTCTGATTTTTTTTTTTTTTTGAATGGGGGATGGTTTCATTAAGGACTTGTCTGAGTCTTGTCATGGTGGTAGGGTGTCAGCTTGTTCATGGTGCCTTTGCAAGGCCACCATTTCTTCTGCAGTTTTGGGTGGAGGTTGGAGTCTTTCCCTGACACCCTCTAGATGTGTTAGAATTATGGCTGTTTGGATGTCTTAGCCCCTTTGGCTTTCCTTCCATTGAACAGCGGGTAAGCCAAAATGTGTTCCCTACTTCTCCTAGATGCTTGTGTGGAGGTGATGACAAGCAGAGAGAGTTTGTGACCCTCACCGAAACATCTGGCACTTTCTCAAAACAGTACAGTCAAAAAAAAAATGTTTTGTGGTCTGTGAATATACATTTAAGTACTGAAAACACCTTCCCATACCACAAGGGTCTTTCAGCTCTCAGCGTATGTGGCAAGTAGCTTTGAGAAGGAAAAATGACTGGGGTGGATTGGGCTTTGATCTGGCACATTGAAGTTCAGGTGCTACATTACTGCATCTTAGTCTCTGGAGGCTGTAAATGCTGCCAGTGAAAATGAACAACTTTGAGCAAGAAGGCATGATGGATAATTAGGAAAGACTGAATTTGCTTCTCCCGTTTCTCTGTTGTATGATCATATGGAACAGCGTGGAATCCATAATGCATCATTATTTTTTCTTCCCTAACCAGGACCAGGGTGGAAGGAAGCCTTGGTGAAAATATAGATCTAAGGCCATCTTCTCCAGTTGAATTGGGTTGCAGTGCTCAGCCAATCCAACCAGTATATCAGAAATGCCAGGCCTTGAAATTCAAGAACGTCTGTTGTGTCTTTAGAGGAAGCTGTCTTTAGAGATTCTAATCCTCAGAGCTACGGTTGTAGGTGTTTAATGTGTGCTTTATTTTTAACTTCTAGAGAGTTCAAGATATTCGATACTTACCTCTTCGCTACTGGCTTTTGGTCCTTACTATTATGTTCTTCTACAATGGAGTCTTTCCTTTTGTGGCTGATGCAAGGTAAACTGTTCCACTTTGAGAAATGGGATAGAGGGTTGGACACTGGCAAGAATGGAGTGAATCCTGTGGCACAGTATTTTCCAGGAAGAGCCATTAAGTTCCTTAAAAAGGGTGGGTTCTCCAGAAGTAGAGATCTCTTGTGCAGTCTCTTGTAGATGTTGCTGTGCCAGTTCCCACAGAATAGGAATCCAGGGTTAGACATGATGGCCCAAATGCCCCCTTTCTATACAGTGTTTCTAGGAATCAAGATAGCAACTAAGTTTGAAAACAGGGCTAACCAATGGTCAAGCTATTATTTCCTCCAAATTGCAATAAAAAGCAGCCCATTGGAAGGTGGCTGTGATCACTTGGTTTTCCAAGATATTCTCGGCCAACGAATCAGTTCAGTGCATGCTTTAATGCCACTGGATTCCAATCTGGTAATGTGAAATTATAAGTAAAGGTCAGTCAAAGGAACCAATGATATGTCTTGGAGAGGAGTTTCTGAAGGACATGGCTTCTGGGGAGCCCTGCCCTACAAAGCTTCTACCAACCAGCCTCCTGTGCTATCCTTGGACCCAAAAATGCTGGGTGTAGCTTTTTTGTACAATGTTGTACCTTCTACAGAGAAAGGAGCTGATTCTCTTAGGGACTTGGATGCTTTCCTAACTCTTGTTTCAAATGTTGTGTGACCTTGGCAAGTCTCCCGCATCATTCTTTTACATCAGCAAAATATAAATATTGATTGGGGGATAAATTAGAAGTGAGACTAGATGTTAACCAAGGACAACACAGAGTATCTGAGTCTTTGCAGGCTTTTCAATCATGCCATTTGGGCTCGTGCAGATATAAGCTGGACATCTTTGCACCCTGAGTTTTGGAGAGAAGCTTCACCAGCCCACTGTCCCAGAGACTTGCTTTAAGATGCCAGCTGCTTTGGGAAGTGGCATGTTCTCTGTCCCTAGATGTATTCAGAAGCCAGGAACCACCTGGTGGGGATTCTCTATCTTGGATACTTAAGACTGAGCAGGGAATGGTCTGAGGGGCCTAGTATGGTCCATTTCAGTTCTGTATGAAAAATACATCAGTTGTGACTGAAAAATAATGATTGAATAATCAATAATTAATCATCAAGCTAATGTTGCCTTTGGATGAATAGATAAGTTTGGAAGCAAGGACTGGGATTTGGTGGGGAAATACGTCTGGGCTCACAGTGAAAAAGCCATATTGGGTGTGTCCCTCCACCAAACCTTAGCTAGTATGAGCATGGAGGCTCTCACCTTGCTTGGAAAATTGACTCCTAGACATTGGCTTTGCTTGCCAAGGTAGCATCTTAGAACAAGGCAAACAATGTCACCAAAGGTTGATAAAAGACCCTAAATGTTCTATCTGGAAGAGTTGACTTGTTTGTACAAGAATGATTTTTTTTTCCTGTCTCCATATTAGCGCTAAAATAATCTGATTTGGAGTCCTAATGGGTTTCTTTCTCCTGTCATCCCCCCCCCCATTTCTTTTTTCTAGTAAGTTTATCCAAGATAAGTATCCTGGCTACAGTCAACAGGCAGCTGCTTATATAGCTGGAGCGGTTTACGACAGCTCTCTTGTCCTCTCTGCGGCTGTGGGCATATTGATTGTAAGTTTTTAGGGATGATTTTAAGACTTGAGGGCAGAAACTGGGCAATTCCTTGATGAGGCATCTGCCTGGGTTTGCGTTTATAGGGTGAGGGAAAGCACCCCACAAAACTGTGCAAAAGGAAACGAAGCCTGAAAAGAACATACAACACAACAGGGCCTGCACGTTTCTCTGGGGTGAGGGCTGCACTGAGTTTTTGCCTGTATGCTAGAGGCCATGTTCCAAAAGGAGTGTATGACAAGAACAAAAACTATTTTTTAAAAATCTCCTTCAAGTCAAGCTTGGCTTCTGATGATTTCATGAGCATGTTAGCTTTTTACTGCTTTGCTCAGCCTAAAGTTCTGGGGTTTTCTGAGGCCTCCCCTGTTCAAGTACTAATGAGTACTGGATCCTGCTTGGGGGTTTGTTTGTTTTTTTGGGAACACCTTTAGTTAAAATTGAGTACAGTTAATTATCACTCTTCAGTAATAGATACATTCAAAAATTTACGATGTGAGAATTGGGGAGCTGTCTAGGCTTCAGGTTGTACACTTTTGCCTTAGAGTGTATTCTATATAATTAGTCCATAAGGACTATAATATTTTATTTCTTACAGGGATTTATTCCCATTTTCTGCTGGAATCCTGTTATGTGTTGGTAAATAAGGTTCATGCATTTAAAGCCACGTACTTCAAATAACCCAATTCCAAAGCATTCACAACAGAAGCAAATACTTGTACCACCTGCACCTGGTTGACGTATTCATCCCCATGGTTCCTCCTCCTCAGTTTATCCTCATTACAACCCTACAGGGTGGGTTAGACTGAGAGAGACTGACTAGCACAGTCACTTAGCTTCGTGGCTGAGCAGAGATTTGAACCTGGGCCTTTCAGTTTCTAGAATGTTCTCATCTCTATATTGTATACATATATGAGTCCTAGTGTCACGGCCCAACATGTCTAGGACATTGTGTTGCTTCCCTTAAAATTTGAAAGCATCAGAGGATATTACAGAAACAATGTCGGTTTCTGTATGTCCCGATATAACTAACCTCAAAATCATCAAGTCATCACTGAAATAAATATTTGGGGGATGGTATCACTTCTTTATTTATTCCTAGTTCGTTTGCCTTCTGTTTCCCCTTTTAGATGTTAAGTTTCTTGGGGTAGCAGTCTGTGGTTTTGTAAAATGCGAACTTCACTTCTTAAAGCTAGATCTGTGTGTAGTCCCAATACCTGGGGGTCTTGGTATTTCCCCATCAGGGTTTTTTTTGCTTTGTTTTGTTCCTTCAAGTCAGTGTTGACTCCTGGCGACTGCCTGGACAAGTCCCTGCAGTTTTCTTGGCAAAATTTCAGATGTGGTTTGCTACTGCCCCCGGCCTAGGGCTGAGAGAGGGGGACTGGCCCAAGGTCACCCAGCTGGCTTTGTGCCTAAGGCAGGACCAAC